CCCTCCTCGCCCAGAGGTGGGTGGTCCCGCAGGGTCTGCGCCTCCTTCAGCAGCATCTGTGTGATGGAGATGGAAAGATGGACAACCTGAAGGGAGGGGACGGGACACGGTGGGCACCCACTGCTGGCACGTGGCTCACCTCGTGGTTGGCCTGGATCTGGCGCAGGTACTGCATGCGGAGGTCAGGAGGTCCTGAGCCCTGGGCTGCCTGCTCCAGCACTAGTGCCTGTGGGAGCAGAGACCCGGGATGGGATGGGTGCTGGGAGCCCAGAGCACAGCTCTGGGCAGGAGGCAGCCACACTGCCCTGCTCTCCTCAGGCCTGGCACCACACTTGCTGCTGCCAAAGCACCTGAAGGGAGGGGACGGGACACGGTGGGCACCCACTGCTGGCACGTGGCTCACCTCGTGGTTGGCCTGGATCTGGCGCAGGTACTGCATGCGGAGGTCAGGAGGTCCTGAGCCCTGGGCTGCCTGCTCCAGCACTAGTGCCTGTGGGAGCAGAGACCCGGGATGGGATGGGTGCTGGGAGCCCAGACCATAGCTCTGGGCAGGAGACAGCCACACTGCCTTGCTCTCCTCAGGCCTGGCACCACACTTGCTGGTGCCAAAGCACCTCTGGGAACACTGCCAGCCCCCACGTGCCGCGGGGCCCTGCTCCGTTCAGCTGCCAAGCGGAGTGGGGCCCGTTCCTGGAGAAGGCACCTCCCAGGGCTCCACAGCCCTAATGTCCAAATCCAAGGCTGAGGGTTGGGGAGGGAGTGGGGTCTGTGATGGTCCCACTCCCCAGCTGTGTCAGGTTTGTTTAGGGTCCCCCCAGGGCCCGTGACGCAGCCCCGTGGTGCCAGGCGTACCTGGATGCGCCGGATCACAGCGTGGTGCATCCTGCAGGTGTGGGCCAGGGACGGGCTCTCCATCAAGATCTCCACAGCCTGGATGGGGCCTGCTGGGCTGATGTCATCCATGGCCACCTGGGACAGCCAGCACATCCTCGCTGCAGGGGGGGAGGACAGGGCGGCCCAGGACCTCTCCCCATGGTCATGGGGTTCCCCATCAGGCTCTCCCCCTCCCTGCACCCCAAAACCCATTTTTTCTGCAGCCTGGGGCAGGCAGAAGCAGCACAGACACTGCCAGCCCAGCCAGGCAAACCAGATCCCCTGCCCAGCCCCCTCAAGGGGTATCTGCCCCTGGCGGGGCCACCAGGTCCTGTGCAAGCCCTTGCCCACCCCTCCAGCCCTGGCTGGGAGCAGCCATCAGGCTCTCCCCCTCCCTGCACCCCAAAACCCATTTTTTCTGCAGCCTGGGGCAGGCAGAAGCAGCACAGACACTGCCAGCCCAGCCAGGCAAACCAGATCCCCTGCCCAGCCCCCTCAAGGGGTATCTGCCCCTGGCGGGGCCACCAGGTCCTGTGCAAGCCCTTGCCCACCCCTCCAGCCCTGGCTGGGAGCAGTGGCAGGGGCTGGTACTGAGCTGGAGGTGTCAGGATGCCTGTTGTCAGGATGCCTGCTGCCTGTTCCCAGGCTGCCTGTTCCCAGGCTGCCAGCCCAGCAGAACTGACCCTGCCACTAAGCACATTGGTGATACTGGAGCTCTCAAGCCTGAGCTGGGCCACTGATGGCCTGGGGGGTGCTGGGCCCCCCGGCATGGGTCAGCCAGCCCCCATGGGAGAGCTGGGCAGCAATTCCTGTTTTTCCTTTGCACTTAGAGAAGGATTTTCACATTAGGGGGACGAGGTTGCTGGGAGGGGGCACCTGCCTTTGATCTCCTGAAGCCAGCTACTGCACACAAACATGGCAGAGCCCCCTGCCCTGCCTGGCAGGGAAAGGAGAACACCCAGGGAACACATCCCTGCCTGGAGAAGGAGGGAAATGGCCACAGCCCTTGGGATGTCCTGGGTTGGGAGAAGCAGGACCAACAACGCAGCCCCTCTAGCCCAGCCCCACAGCAGCTCCCAGGCGTCCAGACCCACACAGCCTGGGGCTCACAGAGCGAAGCCAGCCATCACCCAGGGGCTGCAAGATGGAGCTGGATCCGTGGGCCAGGGTGTGGGGAACTCCTCCACTGGGTTAACCCCTTCCTTGCCTCTCGGACAAGCAGCTGCACGTCCCCGCCGTCCGGCGCCGCGCCGCGCAC